TGCAAAACGTCCCCCTTGCGAAGCCACCTCGATCGTCCTGACCTTCTGCCGGTAGACGTCCGATTTCACCAACCCTGTTCTAGTTGTCGACCAACCTGAATCCGGAAAAGGCCCCCTTTTGTAAAAGCCCCCTTTAAGCTTTGCCGATGCTTACAGATGGCCAGCCGGAGCTCTTTACGGCACGTGTCGGTGTTCGAGGGGTCTTCAGAGATGACATTGCCGCTCAGCTCCAGACACAGGAGCACTTCTTGACGTTGCGATCCTCAGTGCCCCGGATCGCTGATGTTTACCCGCGTGGTCACCTAGGTAGCGGTGTAGTGGTGGCCACCGAGAGACTTTCCAGGGTTCCTTATCCCCCTGCTAGGACACCTGAGCAGCGTACCATTGTAATGCTGGACTGCAGGTTTATCCTCAAAGGATTTGATTGGCTGCTTGTCTTGAACGGTCGCTGCGCGGTTCAGTCTTTAGTGGATCGCTTCCGGCCACAGTGTCCTGACGGATACATTGTTGCGGTCACTGGTGCCTCAATTGAAACGATAGATGACCGTCCCTTCTTCGTGGTAGTGGACGGCACGTTGCTTACTGTCGACTTTGTCGAAGATGCACTTGGCGACGACGTTCCTACAGATCCACTCCCTGGCCGCAATAACGTAACTGACGAGGGGACTGATGATGACGATGCCCCCCCTGATAATGAGTTTCTGCCGGAGGAGCTTTGCCAGCCTTCTACCAGTGTCGACACGGGCGGGACGCGGGATCGCAGCCGCTCGCCTGTTCCTGGACGTCCAGTTCAAGGCCTGCCAGAACTCCTCAATGCTGCTCTGTATCTCTTGGCCATGCTTGCTGTGAATGGTGAAGACAGTCGTTTACGCATGTGGCTGGCTGCTTCTTTACACGATGCTCTTCCAGAGAGCCAGCAGTCTTCCACCTCTGTGTTCCTGCCTTCCGTTCCTCGTGGCCACTCCTTGCTCGCGGCCTTCCCGCGCACAGGTGAGGGTATCTTGGAGATCCTGCACCTTTTGCCTTCTGCTTGGTGTTCTCATATCCTGCGTATGGCACGTCAATTGAGGTTTCCGGAGCTTGCCGGGCTTCTGGTCGCTGACTTCTCCTTTGGCCCCATGCAGGCTCTACGGGCTGTGGGCTATGGCCATCCTCCTTGTGTGGAACAGCCCATCACGATTGACACTGACTCCGCTGTCGGTGTAGACGGTGTTTTCGTCGTACTTGCGGTTGAATACTCTCCCGAAGTGCTTCTGTTGTCCATCTCCGTTCCTCAGACGGTTGAGGATGCCGTTGAGTTGGTTCAAACATGCCGTGCTGAGGCCGGTCGGGCTTCCTTTCCGATCCTGGCCCCTCTGGACCCTCAACCTGACCCTCGACGGGCTTTCCTGATCGCGGTTCCTGAGTGGCTGGAGTCAAGGGTCATTATCGGTCTGCATGTGGTCGGCCCTAGGCAGGAGGTATTCTCTGTAGCTGCCCCTACGGTGGTGGATCGGCATCGCCTTCTATGTTTGGCTGGTTTGCCGGCTGACTCTGGGCTTGATGTGTTTGTGGGATCGAGAGCCGAGCCTCTGGATCCAGGAGAGGATGTTGCGATTTACCACGGGGTTTGCGTCTCCTTCGTGTCCGGTGGGCACCGCCCATTCCATTGTGCCTTTGCAGAGATGCTTCAGTCCCATCTGCCATGGAGCACGGAGCCCTTGTCTGGCAACTCTGATACTGACTTGGTCTTTTGTGTGGTCGGAGACTCCGCGTACTACCCCTTCACCCTCCGTCCCGCCCGTGCTACACGCTATGCTGACGACTTGGCTTCCTTGCTACAATTGCCTAGGGCGCAAGTTCGCATTACGCCGGCTGTCCCAGCTATTACGGATGCCTGTGTTGCCGGCGCTGGTTGTAACAATGTTGTTGCGGTTGAGGAGAGTTTCGGAGGCGGTATGCTCAATAAGGTCGTTGGACTGCTTGATTGCAGGCCAGTTCTAGGTGGATGGCACGTCCTCCACGCCGACCAAGGCTGGCTGCAGTTAGGGCCCATCCGGCATGGCCTTGACCAGAGCACGCCTCCCGGTAAGAAGGCTGTCATTTCCGATTGCTGCCAGCACTGGACGTGGTTCTGGCTGTCCCCTGGCCAATGTCTTCGAGTTGTCTACGAACCCTGTCAGGCGGATGGCCCGGATGACGATTCTGGAGGGTCGGCGCATGGTAATTTTGTTGACTCTGGCCGTGCCGGCCCGAGCTCCCACCTGGGTCCTGATGTGGCCTCGCTTCCTTCAGAGCCTACTCCAGGCAGCTATGATCAGTCTGCCGGACATTCCCACGCGCCGTCGAGTGGGCTTTCTGACGCATTGTGCAAGCCTCTATTTGTGGCTGATGATAGTGATAAGGGCATGTGGCATGCTGGGTTTTCTGTGCACGCCTGTCTTCCAGGCCCCCGCCATTTCACCTCTGTCCTCCTGTCACCGGGCCTCGCGTTATGCTGTGGCCTCTGCTGCGTTGCTGTCCTTGCTTCCGTCAGGGCAATATGGGGCTCATGCACATGGGCTGTATGCCTCCTGTTGTTGGGGAACCCCGCTCCTGTTGGTCGAGGACTCATTGGCATGATACCTTTTCTGGTCTTGCTCGTGCTCCTGCAGGCTCCAGCTGCTGTTGCGGTGCATCATGTAGGTGGAGGTTGGCTTGCTGCGATATAGCTCTGCTAGACCAGTGGCTACGCCTTGCCGGGCGCGAGTTCCCTCACCCCGCCAACCCAAGCGGTCTGTCCTTGTCCCTCCACGGCAGGGCATTGCTGATGGTCTGGACTCTGAAGTTGAGGATACGTTACGTGAGCTGCGCACTGCAGTGCCTTCTACCCTCTTGGAACAGGCGGCCTCATCTGCTGATTGCAAGGCATTCTTTCTCGCAGCCACCTGGTTGGACACACTTGTTGAGCATTTTGCCGATTTGCAGGCTGATCGGCCCCCTTCGGGCCCTTCCAGCATGGTGCCTGACATCGCCCGGGACTGTCGGGTTCTGCGCTTGCTGCCTCTTGTGGGCCCTGCCATATTGCCTGACCGACTGGATGCGATGCCGGTCAGTGCCTGCACCGTCCCGTCAGTGGAGACCTTCGACTTGGATGCTCGTTCCTGCTTGCTCCCATGCCAGGCGGAGCACATGCATGACCTGCTCCAGCCAATTTCATTTAGCTGCCTGCAGACTCCGCCCTCTGGCCTTCCGGCACCGGGTCGTTTTATGCACTGGGTGCTGCAAGCCAGTGTTGGACGGGCTCCTGCCCCCGGTGAGGTTGTAACCGTTACGACGGATGGATCTTATGACCCTGTATCAGGCAATGCTGGATGGGCTGTTGTGGTTAGTTTGGTTGCGGGGCAAGACTTTCGCCTCCCGGGCCAACTTGTGGGATGTATGTGCGGGTCCCTTAGTGAGGTTCGGGATGCCGTAGGACAAGTATTCGGGCCGTTTGATGCCTACCTTGCGGAGGTGGCTGCGCTCTTCTGGGGTGCTCTGCTTTCCCTTAAACTGCCTGGTGGTGGCCAATGGTTGTTCAGGGCTGATAACATCAGTGCGCTCCGCGGAGTCGAGGGCGCGATGCGCCTCCGCAAACACCCGCTCTGTGGTGCTGCCTCTGCTGTGCACACGGCATTTCGCCTTTCACGCCACACGCCTGCCTATCAACATGTGGCTGGTCATGCCAACGACCCGGCCAACGAACTGGCGGATGCTTTAGCGGGATGGGCGTCTCGTGCAGGTCGCGGCTTTCGACCTTTCTCTGTCTCTCTGCGCAGCTGGTTCGCAGACGATGGCCTTGCCTTCGCGTGGCTTCCCCATATGTGCATCACTCAGCGCTCACCTGACAGCCTTCCTGTCGTCGCCAATGACGTTATGACTTGGAGTCGAGGTCACGCCCAGTCCAGCGCTCACCCTGCCGACTCTCTTCGTCCCTTCCTTAGGGCGTGTGAGGGTAGTGGGCCTCCTTCCCACGTGGCTCGGCCATGCGAGATGCAGCTCTGCTTGGCGTCCTTTAATGCTCTGTCTCTGCTTGATACCGACCCCTCCTCACATGCGGCTGGGCTACATGGAGAAACCGGTAGAGTTAAACTTCTGTGTGAGTCCTTGCGGTCTCACGGCGTTGATGCCGCCGGCATACAGGAATGCCGTACTCCGCGGGGCTCTATGGCATGTCGTGGATACTGCCGCTTTGCTGCAGGAAGGGATGCCAACGCATGCTATGGGGTTGAGCTGTGGCTAGCTGAGGATGGCATCTTCGATTCCAGCGCTGTTACGGTTTTTCATGCAGAGCCGACCTTTCTTGTCGCGGGTGTCCCCTTTCAGGGTGGTAGCCTAAGGTTCTTAGTTGCTCACGGCCCTCATCGGGCCCACACGGCGGCATACAGAACCGAGTGGTGGGCCCGCGTCTCCGGTGTATGTGCTGCCCACGCACGAGACTCCACATGGATCATTCTGACAGACGGCAACTGCCGTATAGGCAGTGTCACCAGCAGCGGCGTAGGTGATTTCCAGGCAGACCCAGAGGATGATGCTGGTGAAGCCTTCAGGCACCTTATCGATGACCTCTCCTGCTGGGTCCCGGCGACTTTTGCAGGGACGGCGCAGGGCGAAGGTGGCACTCTATATCAACGTCGAAGTGGGGCGCTTGACCGCTCGGACTTTGTTGCTATCCCTCGTGCCTGGCAACTCACCGGATGCGCGGCGTGGGTCGAGCCCACAGTCTCGGCCGGCCACCGATGCCTGGACCACTTTGCTGTGCTTGTTCGATGCCAGTTGATTTTCCAGGATACCTTCCGTAGACGTGCGCGTGCTCGACGCATTGATAAGAATGCCCTCCTTGACCCCAATAACTCCGCGACTGTAACTGCGATATTGGACACCGCACCATGCTTTGCTTGGCGTGTTGATGCTAGTGAACACGTGTCTGGTCTCGTCGATCATATCTATCGGGGCCTTGCGGCTGCTTTTCCTCAGACTCGACGGAGGATGCGCGGCGGACACTTCTCTGTTGAGGTTCAGCGTCTACATGGCTTGGTCTCCGGTCTTCGGCACTCCGCGCGGACACGTCTCTATGCGCTTCGCTGTACCCTGCTTCGATGTGCCTTTCTTGCTTGGCAACAACGTGCTGAGTTTGAAGCTGTTTGGCGTGGGAGGTGGTTGTGGCGCCTTCGCATTCGCCACGCTCTGGATTGCATGTTACTTAGGCGGTTCGGTCTTCAGTTGCGCCGTGAGTGCCGGGCGGACCGCGTGCAGCATCTGTCTTCGATTGCTGACCGGATTTCACAGGCCCCCTGCTCGGAATTGCATAAGGCTGTTCGTCAGGTCATGCGCCCTAAGAAGTTCAGACGGCCAAACGCAAACCCGCTTCCCCTCCTTCGGCGACAAGACGGTACGACCTGTACCAGTCCGGAGGAAGTTACCACCGTATGGAGGGATCATTTCCGGATACTAGAAGCTGGTGTGGAGACCTCAGCGCACTCTCTTGCCACCTCCTGTAGGGATAGGCAACTAAGTTTTGAGGGCACGGATACTGTAGATGCCGCCTCGATCCCTACCTGGGAGCATCTCTGTCAGGCTTTCAAGCACACTTCCCCGCATAAGGCCAGCGGTCCCGATATGATACCACCCGCTCTTTGCACTGTCTACAGTCAGAAAATGACTGAAGTGTTCTGGCCGGTCATGATGAAGGCCGTCCTTCGGGCGAACGAGGCCATCGGCCTGAAAGGAGGCTTGCTGCACAGAATTGCTAAGCCCTCCGCTGTGGACAATACCACATCAGGTTATCGTGGGATACTAGTGCAATCTTGCCTATCCAAAGCGCTGCACCGTGCAGTACGTCACCTCGCGGTACATCATTGGCACGGTCATGCACTCCCCCTGCAGGTCGGTGGCCGGCAAGGCTGCCCAGCAGACTTCGGTCACTTTTGCTCGCGAGCCTTTCTGTCGTACACCAAGGCCAATCATGTTTCAGCAGCCATCCTGTTCGTCGATCTTTCGGCTGCTTATTATGGGGTCGTTCGGGAGGCTGTGCTAGGCGCTCACCAGCATAGTCGTCCGGTTGAGGCTCTGGCAGACTCTCTGGGACTTTCCCAGGAAGACTTGCAGCTGCTACAGCATATATATCACACAAGACCCTGTGCTGCGCTCCCAACAGGCTGCCCCACTTTTTCAAGAAGTGGCGTCGGAACTGCATCAGAACACGTGGTTTGTTCTTGCGGGGGACACACGCATTGTCGAAACCCACCGGGGAACTCGTCCGGGTGGTTCGCTCGCAGATGTTATTTTTAACATTCTGTTTAGTAAGGCGTTAGGACGTCGGGACCGCTCTGCGTACCGGGAGCATGTCCCGTGTGTACCATGGTCCGGGGTGCGCTCGCCCTGGTGCTCTGCCCGCACCCAGTCCTTACGCTGCGCTGGGGTCGAGACCAGTGATGTTGTATATGCCGATGACCTCGCCAGCTTCCTTTGCTGCTCGGGCGCCTCTGCAATGCTAACAGCCCTTTCTTGTGCGGTGTCCGATACTGTTGACACCATGCTGCCACATGGGCTGAATGCGAATGTCGGACCTACCAAGACAGCCGCGATAATCTCCCCGGCTGGGGCCGGTTCAAGAGAGGTGCGTCGACAGTGCTTCAGCGTCCGTCAAGGCCGCATACCTATTATCCCTGAGAACCGAGGCGGCTTTAAGTTGGATTTGGTCCCTTCCTACAAGCATTTAGGTTCCTTTATCTCGCACAATGGCTGTATGCAGGCTGAGATACGCCACAGGCTAGCATCTGGGCGGGCTGCCCTCAAGGAAGGCAAATCCCGTCTCTTTGCCTGCAAGCGGGTTCCTCTATGCAAAAGGGCGGCCATCTTTCGAGCGCACGTCTTGTCCTGTGTTGTGTCTGGTATTGGTACGTGGCCCTCTCTAAATGATCAGGAATGGCGTTTGTTTGCTGGAGGCGTTATGAGTATGTACCGCCAATTGCTATGTTTGCGCACCGAAGGGGGTTTCCGCTGCACTATGGCACAGATTGTATCTCGAGTCGGCCTACCTCACCCTTCAGCTCTCCTGCATTCTCATCGGCTGCGCTTCCTCGGCCAACTTGTCCGCAACGGTCCAGATCCTGCGTGGGCGCTTCTCGCCCATTACGACGGATTCAAAACCGGAAACAAGGCTGCGTCTGACTGGTTCCTGGCGGCCGTTGGGCAGGTTTGCCCCCTGGGGGACATTGAGCAGGACTGGGCCTCGTGGGAAGTACTGTTCCGACAAACGCCGGGTCGCTTTAAATCCTTGTTAAAAAGAGCCGATGCCTGGCATCTCATCAAATATGAGTTGGAAGCCGCGCTGGATGAGTATGTCCGGGAGTTTTGGCCTTCTGCGGTGGATCCGGCTCGGGCGTCTCTTGCTTCCTGTGAACATGCTTGTCTTGTTTGCAAACTCGCCTTTCCCACTAGGCAGCAGTGGGGTGCGCATGCCCATCGCGTACATTCCTATCACTCAAGGGCGCACCAAGTCGCAAAGGGTCGTTCATGTCCCGCATGTGGGTTACAGGTTGCCTCGCTAGGTCGCCTGCGTACCCACCTGCGCCTTAGCCTAGCCTGTGTACAGGCCATTGATCGTCTGGCCACTGAGGGTCCGGTTCCTGTCGATCTTTCCGTGGCCCACGAACTTGCCCCTGCCATTCCCGGTGTAGGCAAGTCTGCCTTAGGAGCTGTGGCTCCGGAAACCCTGCCGCCACTAGCTGCTGCACTTGCAGCTTTGGATGTTTCTGGGCCTGATGCCGACACGGTTGTGTATGATACTATTGTCAGCCATGTTGCCCCGCTGCCGGTACTGCGTAACACGCTGGCGCAATGGATCGATGGACTTCCTAATGGCGACTTGCGAGCCGCGGCGGAGGACGTTCTTCTTGTTCTTCGGCCGGAACATCTCTGTGAACGGGTCTCTGGCCCTCTGCGACAAGACACAGAGCTGCAAGGGGCTTTTCGCCCTCATGTCCTTCCTCCTGTGTTGAAGGCGATTGACCCATCACTGCCCTGCGTTTTTGTTGGCCCGCTTGTTCGCTCATGGGCTCATCTCGTTGGGGTTGCTTCCCTGGAAATGCAGGAGCTTCGTCTTTCTGAGCTCGCTTACTGGCCCTGGCATACAGCTTCTGCAGCGTGTGTGGCTTTCCTTCAGTTGCCGAAGGACGATTGTCCTGTGTTCTCCCCCCCTTCCTGCACTCTGCGCGCCATGCGTGAATTGCGTGATTGGACTTTTACGTTCCTCTCCGCACTGCGGCCACTCATCGCGCTTGCGCAAGCAGGTCGCCCTGTCCTACTTCGCTTTCCTTGTTCAGAGCAGGCTCTCTCTCCCCTGTCAGGTTGGCTTAGGGCTATGGCGACGGGTTCTCTGGAGGACCAGGTTCCAGCATGTTTCACCCTCGAATTCAATTGTGTATGTTTGCATTAGGCACGTCCCTCGGACTTTGAGCCTGTGTGAAAGAAAGAAGGCCCCTACATTACAGGGTTGGCCACATCCGTTTAGTAAGCCCTCGAAAGCCTCGGCGACTCGGGCCCCCTTACTCGAGAGACCGTAAAATCCAAAACATCCCATAACGGTTGATTTAGGGATTAGGGTCCCTAAACTGCTAAACCCCTAGCCCAAGCCGGAGATCCCTAAACTCAAACCCGAAATCCATGAGCCGTAAATCCAAAAAACCCGAACACCTTTCAGCCCAGGACTCCGACAGCGATGGGCGCATGTTGACGGTGCAGCTTGACAGCCCAAGGACCAGTGTCTGGGGTGCAGGGTTACTGGTGTTGGCGTTTAAGGTTTAGGGGTTTAAGTGGCCAGTCTCGCATTGCAGTCACGAGTACTGTGTTGTGGGTCGAGCTGG